TAGCTAAGAAGGCAGTGCCTATCTCCATGGAAATGGGCATACTGGAGCATCAGCAAAGGAATGTGGAGGCGTCCTTCAGTCCAAGACTCTTCATTTCAGTGATGTGACCCTGAATGTGACCCTGGATCCAAACACTGAGGTAAGCTTCCCACCGTCATAAGGGAACAAACTGGAATCTGCATATACATATTCCTGACCTTTGAGATGTGCAGATTGAAACTGGAGGGTTTGGTTTGGACCACCACCCTTGGAAAAAAAACAAAAACAAACGAGGGGAGAGGTAGTGTGCTCTCCTAACCTGCCTTTCCGACATCTCTGATACACAGGACTAAACCTCTTTTTTAGATGAATGCCACAGTTGTGTGTGGTGGTTGGTTAACAGGGCTGTGCTCTCGTGTTGAGAAGTGTGAGTCAGGGGCTGCTCCGAATTTTGTGTTCGTCTGCTGGGATCCATCGCGGGGCCAGCGAGGGTCACGCTTCGGTGTTCTGCTGCTGCACGTAGGCTTCTTCAGCCTGAACTCGAAGAGTATTTGTGATCTCCAGGGTTATTAGGCTCGAAGCTCTTGTCCTGAAATAGCCACTGGGAGGGGTTCTGCCCAGCTTAGGGCTGTGTTATGTCACACTGGTCTCTAGATCAGTAACCTCAATGGGATAGTTTTCCAGAGTCTCAGGAAAGCTGATTAATTCAGGAGGTAAGCACTATCAGAACAATTTCTTACACTAGTATATTATTCATGTATAATAGCCATTTTTCATTTAAATATTCCAGCTTTCTCATTTTCAGAAGGGCTGAAGCTCCTCACTGTTTTGTTTTGGTCTTCTCTGTGTAGGAGCACACTCTGAGGTTTTGCTGCCTTGCCTCTTAGGTGTTACTGAGGACAGAATCTGACCTGTATACTGATGAGTGTTCTTAAAGAATACGCAAGAACAAAAAGTTGCGAAGTTCATGATCTTTAACTAGCTGAAATTATTAATTCTTGGATCTGGGGCAGCAGCTCTGATGCTGCACAAATGCAGATAAGCTGCCAGGTTATGGTGTTAAAGGTAGCGTTGCTAAAGAAGCTTTAAAAGCACCAGCAGCAAGAGATAATTATAAGTTTGTGGAGGTGAAGGGCGAAAGGCAGGCTTTCCCCAGCCACAGTGATAGCGTGATGACTGCCCTGCAGCTTGTGCTGTGCAGTTGTTTTATCATAGAATTTCAACTGAAATACTCTTACAGAATGGGAGTTGTAAAAAATAAAGGAGCTAAACACATTATTGTGTCTTACCTATGGGGTAGGTGAGGAGATAATTCTGGTCAGGGTAAATGGTGAATTACTACTGAAACTCTCCGGTCTGCTGTGTACGGTGCATTGAGATAAATACTGTTCAGCACCAGCGGCTGGTTTCAAAGTAAGCTTCCTTCCTGTGTCTCCAGTGTAAAATGTTTTGTTGTGGGGTTTTTTTTGTGTTTGGTTTTGCTGGTTGTTTTTTTTTTACATCTGCTCTCTTAACTCTTGGGATTCAGAGGAATTCAGAAATCTAGTTTGGGCTTGTTTTTAATGTAGAAAAGCATAACATCTCCGAGCACGTTTAGAGCATTTATTTTGGTAATCCTGTGTGCTCTCCAAGCACAGATCCCAGTTTGCAAAAAAACAGTTTGTTTTGTAAATAGCAATGCCAGTCAAATATCACCGCTCAGAAGCAAGGGTTGGCACATTTTCCTGTCCTCTTTCTTAGAAAACAAATAATGCCATCAGTAACAAATTATTTCCATGAATTAATTGCCTGGACCAAGGGCTGCTCTGCTACTTGTGCATAGGCTGCATCGCAGTTGGTTTCCTGCTCATTCTGAAGTTGCATCTTCAAGCATCTGCCCTGTTGACAAAGCATTGCCAGGATTTCAGTGGCAATGCAAGGTTTTATGTGTATCACTGGGATGGCACAAAGAATTGCTTAATACCTGTTTGTCACTAAAATAACAATGCTCAGGTACTACAACTTACTACACCAGCTCAGATTAGCTGCAGGGCTGACCAACATCATATTTAACCCATAAGCATGTCTGGGGTGGCAGCAGCTTGTTCAGTGAGGTAGGAAAGAAGCTTCTGTGAAGCGCTCTCCCAGGGACAGGCCAAGAAGGGCAGAGGGAAACAGCAGGAACTCGGCTCTGTGTGCTGGGGTGAAGGCAACAGACTGCAAGGGGTGGGGTGGCTTAACATCTGCACAAAAATATACTTCATAGGATTTACCTTAGCATTTCTCTTACAAGGTCTGGAAGTGTTGAGTGTTCCTGTTTCTTCTGTTCCAATTTCTAGCTGTTTCACTCTAGTGCATGTCCTAAGCTGTGGACCATTACCAAGTGCGTTTTGTACAGTCACGAAGTAGGAATTTTTAATTTCTACATCTAGAAAGGTTCACCTGTTCAGTTCTCAGAGCTGCAGGGAACAGCAGGGGCTTAAGGCACCATGAGCCCACCAGCCCAAAGCCCCCTGGCCTGTGTAAATCCCAAATTCCCTTATTAAACCCCTCCACGCTAGGCTTTGTGTTGAAGGAGAAAAAAATACGACTTGTTTTCTTTTTTTAATATAGTTTATTGAGACAATGTAAATTTTTTTAAGGAACTTGTTTCTAAGACTGTTAAATCTTTTCTGTTGTTGTTGACAATATTTACATTCTGGTCTTATGTGTCTTCCTCACCCTACAGTGGAAAAGCGGGAAGCAGTGTGATCTACAGGATGTAAAGCACGACTGGGAAAATCCTGTGCTACCACTCCATACTCTGAAAATGGCTTATTTCCATGTGGATGCTCCCTGTTTCCTATAGGTGTTAGGTAGGTTTCTGATGCTGTAAGCTGCTGACGGTAACCGAGGTTGGGATGCCTGTTTATCTGCCTTTCCAGTTGTCCCTTCATCTTCTTTTTCGCTACTGAACCTTGTTTCTCCATCGTGTGCCTGGAAGTGAAGCGAGACAAGAAGTGCGGGTGGTTCTGCTTCCTGGAGGAGCAGGGGAAGGAGTGGGGCTTTGCAGGGGCGAGGGGAGGTACAGGCAGCGCGGGCTGGCAGTGCAAGGGCTGCGTTACCGTGGCCGAGTCGGGCTTTGGCCATGGTGTGGTACGGCAGGGCCGCTGGCTGCCCCCCGTGCGCTCACACAGGCCGCGGGCTCAGCGCGAGAGCAGCGGCAGCAGCGCTGGGCGCAGCCGTTCACACGCTGCGTGATGCCAGAGGTCGGAAACAGGCTATGAAGGATTGAACTTTGCATGTCTGCTCCTGTTACTGAGCCGATCTTCTGGATGAGAAGAACCTTGACATAGGAATAGCATAAACCAGCCTTTCACAGCAGCAAAGACACCACTGCTTGTCTGTCCCAAAGTTAAACCCATCACAGGAAAATGTCTGCATTGTCTGCATCTGGCTTCTTTTAGTAACAAGCTTCATTATAAGAGTGTCTGTCTCATGTACAGCAGTTTATGCAACATTGTTTATAAAGGAAGGGCCTGTGCACTTCAGGGATACTATGAAGAAAAATACTAATATATGGTCATTGAGTATTTTGTATTGAATAGTGTATTTGTATTGTAAACAAGTGTAGTGAACCACAAGGCATGAAGACAAATAAAATGACTGTAGCTGGCTTTCTCTGTGTTGGGCTAATGACTGGATCAACATCACAGGGAGGTCTTTGGACACAGATTCTTACTTGATGAAGTTACAGAAGTGTGCAGGTACACTGACACACAAAGGAGCAGGGGTGGTGGTGAACTGACACAGCTGCTCTTCTGGCTGGCAGCAGCACATTGGCACTGTGTCATACCTCCCACTTTCTTACAGAGAAAGGCACCATTCCCTCCATTATAAACCACCAAGGTTGGCTTTTACCTACAGGGAACCGGCCGGTATAAAAAGAGAACAAAGTATACAGCGCAAGAGAGCAGTTGCGTGTTTTTATTTCTAAATGTTTATATCCTAAGACAGCATTTGTCTTTGAATCTGGACATGGACTTATAAGACCTACTCAAAGCTGTATTTTAATACTGTGGAGTGCCAGTATTGAGCACTGTGACAAACAGGGGAAGAGGCAGCTCCTGCCCTGACATGCTCATTTTTTTCCCTTCCCTGTACCATCCTTATGCCAGAGGTAATTGCTTTCTCAAGGAGCGGTCATCGAAATTAGGACTAATTTAGCTATAAACCCAATCCTCCTTCACTTGCTTATCCACATCTTCACTGTCCCACAGGGTAGTGCTGTAGTTTAGTTATGATGGCTTGTTTTCCTGAGCAGGTATCTGGCAGGCACCTCTCCTCTTTCCCCCTTTCCCTCCCTGTTCTGTTCCTCCGTTAACTGAAAAGGGGGATCTCCTTGCTCATCTAGGCATAGAGGTAGGTGCTGGACAGCCACCACACACTGGTTTGGATCAGGTGCTGGCTGGCAATCTCTGTAATCTCCATTTTTTTCCAGAGCTGTCTGTCTGCAGTGAGGCAGGAAAAAGGATGCAGGTGGTTTCTCTGCTGTGTGGCTTTCAGGGACACAATTTCAGTTTCCACCTGGTGTTTGACAAGGCTTCTGCAAAACGTAACCTCTGTAAAGCCATGATGTAAAGGCTGGACTTGCCACCTATGCAACACTCACAGGTAACAGAACTAACATGTTAGAGAAACTAGGTTAAGTCATGCAAACTGCAGGGCCAGTTTTGGATCCATGCGCCTCAGGTCTTGCTGGATAGCAGCACTTTAAAAGCATGGGCTCTCTGCCCAGAAAACCATTACTGTTGACAGCTGCAGAACAATCACTGAATCCAACTGGCCTGAACTCACCAGAAATGAATTCCCCATCCTGGGACACCTCAAGTTCTCCTCCTCCTCCTGTCACACCTGTGACCCCTCTTTTCCAGCCAGTGTCCAACAAAGCTTGGAAGATTTCATTACCAAGAGCACTGAAGAGGTAGGTACATTTTTCTGAAACTGGACCCCAGAGACATGCAACAAGGACAAGTCTGAAAGTCTGCACAGGCAGCACAGAATTGCTGGGTAGCATCTCTTTATTTATTTATAAAACAGATATTTTATTTATACGGTTTATAGGAACTTTGGGGATCATTTGTCTTTTTTCTAATGAGTCTGGGGCTGTGATCATACACACCTCAGCAAAACACCTAATTTCAAACTTCACTGCCAGTTATTTTCAGATTTTTTTTTTTTTAATGACATGAAGTGTCCTCCTGCAAGAGTTGAGAGAAAAGGATTATGGCAACTTACCTTGGATTTAGGGAAGCACAAATCTCTTCACATCACCAACTTGAAGACAGCCATCAGTAATCCCTTGTCGAATGGAGGGACTGATTTATTTCTGTGTCAGGCTGCATAAATTTATGGTGCTTCATGCTTCCTCGCAGAACATTCTTAGCACTATCAAAACAGCTCCATACTAATAACAGTCCTGACTTGCTCCTCTAACCTACAGTGTTCTGGCTGAAGGCCAGAGCCTTCAGGAGAAGTGTGCAGCTGGCTGAAGCTGAAACTGAAGGGCAAGCACACTCCAGCACTGCTCCAACAGTACCTATGCCCTCTACCCCTCAGACAGGATTCAGTGAAGTCTTGAAGGCTTTGCTAGGCCTTTGCCAGGCCAGAGACCCCCCTTCCAGCTGAACTAGGTGTAGCTACAGAGCTGTGGAAGGGGCAGCCTGACCCCTTTGGTGAAAAAAAAAAGAATTTCAGTGCATCAGAAAACTCTTGGAAAGAAGTTATTCTCATGTATTCTTTCATCTCTGTAAGACAGGCCACACAGAAATGGTGTGACTATAACAAACTGCCTGAGATTGCTGCCTTCCCACACACTTACTCCCCTGCGTACCTCCAGCTCCCCATCAGATGAAGCAGTTACATCCATTCCATCTTGCCAGGCAGGAAAAAACAGCATTTCTGATAATGAGTGTTTCATCACAGGAACTAAACTGCCCACCCAGGAGCACAAGGCTGGGACAAACCAGTGAAACGTGCTGTACAAACGCTTCGCTTGGCAACAGGCAGTGCAGTACCGAATAGCTAGAAGATATAAACACTGCTGGTTTATATTCTACAGTTGCTGATACATACTGCATCCTGGTCACCTAATGTGTACGTGAGAACAGAAGTGAGAGGATGTATGTTCTGTAATGACCTAATGAAAGTTCTTTTTGCCATATTGTTCACCAGGGTTTCATTTTACTAATACCAGCAAGAAATAGATATTGGACAAAGTAAAGTTCAGTACATCACTGAGTATCTGCATCTTCAAATATAAAGCATCCATATTTTTTTTACATTCAAAATTTACAGCTTTTATATTCAATTAAAAATTCCCATAAGTACATTAGAATACAATATGCATTATTTTAAATACAGCTCAGGAAAAATAGCTACAGCAATATTTAAAAGAAGGTAACAGCAGCAGAATTCTGTCTAAAAATAGGATATTAAGATGTAATTTAAAGTGTCACTTCTTCAAGTAGGTAAGAGAGCAAGCAGATCATTTAAGAATAAAATTATTGTTCTGGAACACAAAACCATCCTGATAATGTTTACATATGCTAAGCAATTAAAATACATTATATGTTTAAAACATGGACAAAATATTAGCAGTTTTAAAAGGCTGATATGCAGGTAATGTCACATCAAGGTGTGTTACAATGCTGTACCTAAAACTATCCTTAGTTTTATCATTACTCTTACAAAAAATTTATACTAGAAACTGTTTCAAAGGAAACTAAAAGAAACATGTATCACAAATGAATTAAATAACGTTAGCAGCTTGCTTGAAAAACCTGCATATAATCCATACCACTGGCAGGAATTACCATGCTGTATTTATACAGACTTGATATTTATGATGAGGCTATTATGTATAGTTCTGCTCTGGGATTATTTGCATTTAAAAACTGTGATACTCACAGCCTGCAGCACACCAAACAAAAAAAGTTTAAACTTGAGGGAAAGCTCTCGAGGAGAGCGCAAAGTGCATTATTTTAAAGAGTGCTTCTTATATGTAGCTCTTTCTACAAATGCATACCACAAAAAGTGCTTTTTATTATACAGGCTGACATACAGCATATTTGTGCTTTTTAAAAGGCTTTTTATTTAATTGCTGCTGTTCAGGAGGATAGCCGCAAATACTGATCAGCCCTTTTGCGTTCCAGAGGGGAGGAGAGGGAAAGACGAGGAGGGATCTGAATGATAAAATGTAAAAATACTTCGCAACTGCGTGAAAAAGGGGTTTAGGTTTTGGGTTGTTTTGTTTTTTTTTTTTCTTTCTTATTACTAGCAGCTGGTATTGGAATTGACAAAGTGCCTGGTAACCAGACTAATGTCACTCATTAAGCACCTCCTCTGTCAAAAGCAGGCAATTGCAAAGCATTATCAGTACATTACTACATGGAGGAAAATCGTTTAAATACTGCATGAATCACAAAGCAACTTTAGAGAAGGTTGGAGATACTCACATTCTCTAACTGGTAACATTATTCAAATAATAAGCATCTCAAACCCAAGATACTATTGCAATAACCTTCCCAGGCAAGGGCTGTTTCAGTAAGAGAAACAGAATAGTGGTTTTACTTATTAATGTGATTGAACTTCTTTTATCTCTTTTTTTAATATATATTAAAATATATATTATATATACACACACATACATATATATATACTTATATATGTAAAATGCAAATGCATATTTAATAATTTAAAAATGTTTGCCTTCTAGATGGGGTTCTTGTGTGCTTTAAAATACTTATTTTATATGTATGAGCGCATTTTGGCTCAGCAAATATCATCTACAAGTTTTGCCCCGTTAATCCCACGATAGGTTACTCTGCTGGGTCGAACTAAGACCCCGTGGTTCAGCTTACAGGTGAAATAGCGCTTTTCCCCCACAGAGCCATCATTCTTTCCCTTGGCACTCCTGAGTTCAAGTCCGAGCCATATCCCTGGCGCAAAGTCTGTCGGACCAATGTACCTTATTGTCCCCATTTCATTGGAGCTGGTCAGAAGCACCTGAGAGCCTTCGTGCAGCTTCACTGGTCCCTCAGTGGTAGGTGTCATGGTGTTGCTCCAGCTGCGCCGTAACACAGAGCTCTTGGATCTAGTTAGAAAAACAAGGGGGAAAAAAACCAAAAAAGGGTCTTGTTTCTACAAAACACCCAGGGCAAATCTGTAATTCAGGGAAGTGCGTGGAAAAAACCTCAACTCCCTTTTAAAGAAAAAATTTGGTTTTGATCTTGTGTCACTAGCAAAACATGTAATAGCCTTAACAGGCTAGTACATCTGGCAGTCTGAAACACTTGGAAATCAATTTCCTTTCACCTGATGCTAAGATCTACAATACCTGCCATAGGTGATAGTGCTGGTACATTAAGCAGTACTAAGCATCTCATTTGGGGTTTGCAAGAGTTCAGCCAAAACAACTTTCAACATGCAAGCACCAGTCAGGATCACCAGGACAAAGTGAGCCCTTTAACAAGACCCTCGGAACTTCACCAAGCTGTGTGAAAATAAAAGAATTTGGACAAGCTGCAGTGATGAACGACTGGAAAACAATTTTAATGCCAACCTGAATTCAAGGACTGTTCTCCTGGATATATGCAGGGAAATAGTCTACTACTGGTTCATTTAGAAGAAAAAAAAAAAAAAACGAACATGTAAAGGTTCTAGATACTATACACGCATAAAGATTTTCTTTTGAACAAGAAACAGTAAAGCTAACAGCCAGCTCACCCAAATGTTTTAAACTCAAAACACTCACCTAACAAAGGAGTTTCTTCTGTTTATCTCCTTTTGTGAAGATGCAGATGTGGTGCTTAAACTCCGTCTAAAACCTAAGTGCAAAGAGTAATACTAAAGTTGTGTATGACTTCTTAAAAAAAACAACAAACCACAAAACCCCTTTATGAACTCGTATCTTTGTGTGTTTTTTTTATACTGCTTCCACTATACTTGCTATACATTTCCAAATTGGAGGGAAGGACAAGGGATGAAACTTCTCATGAAAGTAAGCATCCATAACTTGTTCAAATTTTTGGAGACATAAACAAAATTAAACAAACCAAGCAAGGGTAATTTGAAGCAGCCTTTTCAAAAAGCTTAGGTAAGGAAAAAGAAAAATAACTACTTCAAGTATCTCACAAAAGTTTTAGTAATTTCATATGGATGCCCCCCTATACACATCAATTCCAATTTAGATTAAGGAGCAGGCTCAGATTATAGTTAACTCCGATTAGAATGCAACACAGTAATAAGGGAAGAGTGTCAACAATCTTAACTCTGACATAATTATTTCTGCCAATATAGGGCTAATAACAACATAGTACTCTACAGTTCCTTCTGCAGGCTATGTTTATAGGAAGGGACCAGCCAGACTCTTGGTTGCCATTTGGTTTCCTTGAGAATCTCCTGTGCTCCTGGAGAAGCGGCCGTTGTGCAGTGGGTTCTGGCTGTAGGCTGGTAGGCAGCCTGCGGTAGGGTACTGAAGCCAAATCACAGCGTCTTACGCTCCTACCTGGAAAAGCGTGATTTACTTTACTCAATGAAGTCTCTGCGAGAGAATCCAGAGAACCCGTTAGTCTGAAAAGCAATAACACAACGAAGAAGTCAACTCAACTCAACTCTGAACAAACCTACTGCTGGAGTCCTTCTTGTCAAATGTTGATGAAGTGCTGATTCTTCCCCTTTTCCATCCACCCCCAAGAGACACTAACATTTCAGCTGCAATCAGGCTGGTATGTAAGAGGGGCCTGGAGCAATCTACTTTATTCGAGTTACTTGCCTATTACTCAGCAAGAGAGCATGTATAATTTTGAGGCACGTTCTTTAACAGTTTGCCTGAACTAGGATATTCAGGGAAAAAAAAGCAAAAACATGTCTGGCAGAGTAACCAGATACAACTGCCGGAGGAAAGAGCACAGTAATCCTCAAATGTTCTTCCTGAAGCCTAACAAAGAGACTACAAACAAAGTGGTGGATGCTTCGGTTCTTCTGTGCAGTCAGCTGGAATGAGAATAGTATTTCCAGTCATGTCCAAGGGCAACTTCCTTTTATAACCAAACTTAGCTCAGTGCATCAGGATTGGGTCATGAAAGGAAGCTTTAATGAACACGGACTGTATCAGAAATGGAGGCCCTGGAACGAAACAAAGTGGCTGCAAGAGAAACAGGGAGCTGCACTTCCAATTTATACTCTGCTTTCAAAAAGCTGATCTAAAACCCACCAGATTTTTAATGGAGGTTATAAACTTCCATTAGCAGAAGAAAACATTTATTTCTCCCATATCTGCTGCCAAACTTTGTTTCCCACTGGAAACATATTAAGAAAGCATTTGGCAACACAAACATGACAACAGCTTCAGTGCTTACCTCTGTACACGAGATGGTGGTGCAAATATACCGTATCTGGGAAGACAACTGAAGTACTGAACACCTCCCACGGAACCATCATTCTTCCCATGAGGCTTGTCCAATTCAATTCCACACCAGAATCCTACATTTCAAAACAGCAAAATCATGGTATTTTGAAGAAAAGACCACAGGCTTTTCTTCATCTAGACAGCTGGCATTCACCCACACCAAGGAAAACAGTTTCTAGTTAGAAACTGCCTAGATAATAATAGTAAATATATAATGACAAAATAACTATCTATGTAACTATGCAAAATTTATATCTGAATAAATCTGAAGATAACTATCTCAGAATTTTTATATGCTTTCAAGAAAATTATTAACATCTTAATATAGAAAAGATAAAACCTTTGATCTATATAATAAAGCCAAGCAGAACATTACTGAATATAACAGTATTTGACAAAAAGAGAAAGAAAAGAGCAGCAATGGTGGTTCAAGTTCCCCTCTTTAGTCCTTTGACCACATGGTTTATGCCTCATCTGAGATCATCAACAGTAAAATTAAAGTTTTGATATTAATTCATTCTTTCTCTCCATCTAGCAAGTTATAATTAATACAAATTGCAAGGCTGGTTGTACGATATTGAGAGAAGGGTGTAAGAATCAGAACTGGCCAGCAATTCATCTCGTACAGAACACTGAATAGGCATCAAGATGTTAATAAGCTTGATCATTCATAACCTGTGATAAATGTGAGCTAATTATGTAAAGGTGCTAAATTTCATACTCCATTAGCAGTCCTTATGCTATCTATCCCCAAAAGATTCAAAATCTAATTCAAGTCACTTGGTACTAAGGCACTGGATAAAATGATAATTCTAATTATCAGCTCAAGAAACTCAGGAATGACAACTTATGAATTAGAAAGGCTCAGTATGTCAGAAGTTCTTCCCTTCCTGTTTTTAGAATTAAATAATATGATCTGCATTGCAGCAAGAGAAAGAAAGTTTGGGTAACTTCCAGAGCTTTGATACATATTAAAATTGAAATACTTAAGAATGCATCTGTTACATTTTCTATAAATTACTGGTTTTGCAAACGGTTAAGATTTGTCATTCTTCCATCCTCACTTCTTACAATACCATGTTTTTTTCAAAAAAATTTTGCTCCCTAATTTGGAGTGGAGAGGAAGGAGACAGACAATCAACCAGCTTTCCAATTTTACACTTGTAGTGTATTTGGAAAACCAGTCCTTTTCTCATGGTTTACTTTGTAAGCACCAACATGAAGGTAAGAGTGATCACGTTAAAGTGCAGAATCTGTTAATTGCAATGTCTTAAGGACTGCCTACAATGAAACTGGGGAAAAGTGAAAAAAGTATGTAGCTTGTACCACAATATCGCATTCTGTCATTCTAGGGGTTTTTTTAAATATTGATGCCCCCAAGTGTCAAGACAGAGTATTGCCGTTTACGTGTCGGTCAAATGGACCTCATGTAAACTAGCTGCTTACACCAACACTTACCGACTGTGTGTGCATTACTCCTGCAATAAGAACATTATAGATAAGGACATAAAGAACATAAAATCTGGTTACAAAAAAACAGCATTCAGAAATTAGTTTCCAGAATTTAGAATAACTCGCTTCCATTTGAAAACGCCTGGCTTCAGCTTCACTGCAGTGTGTTTTTAAGCAAGGAGAAAGGAGGGAGAATCTGCAAGGGAGGATGAGAAAATAGTGGTAGTGTTTGGGGCTTTTTGAGATGCTTGCAACTTTTCATCTGTCCTGTGACTTAAACGTTTGTTAGTTAAGATTTAAATATTCATAATTACCCTTTTAAAGATGCCAAAGTAATAAGAATGAGACAGGTATATGACACAGTAAGAGTACCAGTACTGCATGAGATAAGCTCTGTCAAAAAAGCTTACTACAAAAAGAAAGGAGTAAAGAAATGCATGTGATCTTTAAATAAACTATGGAGACTAAACTGAGGATTTTCAGAAAGCTTTGTAACAATACCTACAATTTCAATCCTACCTTTCAAAATATTTCTCCTAATTAATCCATGTTAGTGCACAAGTAAAAGTCACATTTTAAACAATTAGTTTTTTTACTTTAATACAACTGCCAGGAAAATATTCAATGAAACTTCTGGGAGAAAGAACTTTGAAACACACCAGTAAATTAAGAATTTTTTTTGGAGGGAGTGAGGAAAAAGATGGAGTTCTTTTCACATTCATGAGCTCACAGGTAAGCTACTCCATATTGATTCTACAACATACACAGAGAGTACTGCAAATACCTGGTGCAAATTTTGTCGTTCCACAAAATCTAACGGTGCCTGTTCTCTGTCCTACCACCAGTACTCTGTCTCCAACATGAATTTCTCCTTCATCAAAAGGATTTTTTCTCGTAGCCGGAGAACTATACAACCCTGGTCAACAGAGGAACAAGATCTGAAATTAGTATGATTTTATCATTAAAATTTAATTATATCTTTAAAATTTAAGAAAGTCTTCAATAGTGAGCCAACTGATTGGTAAATAGAGTACCTATCTTTAACATAGTGTACCTTTAACACATGGCACCACACAGCAAAGTTTGCCTAGACAAAGAATTGGTTTTCTTCAGCATGAAAACTGTGGACTACAGCCTTTTCTCTGCACTTGAAAGGTACAGTGACCAATTATAAGAACGGTTTTCCTCCTGAAGATGTTCTAAAAAACTTTTTTAAAGTTGCCAAACTGAAGTTTATGGTTAAACTACTTTCCAAGTGTCTGTCTAGAACTATCTCAGATTCAGAAACAGCACAAGTAGTTCTATATAAGTATTCAATACAGCAGTGATTGATCTGACCTGTGACAATACATCTCAGTAAACCAGACCATACCAGCACTAATTTTAGATGAGGCAGAAGACACTCTAGTCACTGCCTTTTTATTGCTGCCAGTCGAGTTCCGCTTCTTGGAGTAATTCCGTTTGCCTTCCAAGGAGGTAGTAGAAGAGGAAGAGCTGCTGTACCCAAGAAAACCTAAAAGTCATAAATGGAAATAGTCCTTCAGAGACCGTATTCAGAAAAAGACAGATTAAGCAGAAGGGAAAGCTTCTGTAAAAAGGAGGTTATTTGTTCTCCATAGTGGGCAGAATACAAAGTAAAGAGACAAAATTAGAAGTTGTTAAGCAGCATTTGCACAAACACCTGTCAGGAATGACATAGGTGCATTTGACCCTGCCTTGGGAATAAAGTGATAGGTGAGTGCAGGAAGAGGTCTACAAAAGCCCCCTTCTTTATTACTCAATGAAAGTTCTTCTAAACAGTTATAAGCATATTTATTAAAACATGGAAGCCTTATTACTAAGAGATCATACCACCACACTTTCAGCATCCAGCCTGTTAAAGATCTGATGAAACATGGAAGGAAGGTGGCATTATTTGAGTGAATTACTGTCTGGATTAAAGCCTACTATATTCCATTACATACTGTATTAATATTAAAATCTGTACTATAAAATAAGAATGGGAAATAAATCAATTTTATCTCCATTTGCAAACCCTGATGTCTGAACTGTCCAATAAGACTTATGTTCATCTTTCTTCTCTTCTTTTCAAGGCTCTCCCAGTCCTCCCCTTTCCTACCCGCTTCTGCCCAGAACGAAGCGGGATACAGCAAGAAATGTCTATGTCTCAGTTTCTCAGTATGAAAGATTAAGATAATATTGCTTATCAAACTCTTCAGAATTCTGAGAGGCTTCATTCATTAGTTTTCACAAAGCACCTTGATATTAACACAGGGTTAGCGTGTTCAATATAGTTTAATCCTCCAACTTGGCAAAACAGTAAAGAACTTCAGAAAGGCAAATAGAGTGGGTCAAAGCAAAAGCTTAGGTATCTGGGGACAGAAATCTAAAGACTCTCTGGTACTGGCTGCAGCTATGATACAATGAAAATACAAACTACTAAAATAAATGGTGACTAAACAGGCAAACTTCAGCTCCCAAGTCCAAGGTATAAATACACATGTGCATTTGCAAACACATACGAGTCCATATTTAGAAGTCAGTCCAGTGATGGATTCACCGGAGGTTAGACCACCTTGCACTTTAACATGAACGCAACAAAACTGCTGAAACTAAACCACTTCAGACACTTCATGAGACACTGCATTTTGTGGGAAATCACAGGGTAGGAGAAGAAAGAGCAGAAAGGACTTCAGCAGGTTGTCTAATCCATTCCTCTTCCATCACGCAAAACAACTATTTGTTAGATCACTCCTAAGAGGTGAACGTTTGACCTGTTATTAAAGACCTCCTACCACGGAGATCTCAGGGTTTCCTCAGCAATATATTTCACCGCTTAATTATTACAGGGTTTTTTCCCTCCTAATATAAAACCTAAATTACCACAGTTTAAACTCAAGATTTCTTACTCTTCTTACACATGCAGAACCTTGTTTATCCCTTTAATCTTCTATCTTTTTAATCACACAATCACAAATTCCAACAGTCTTTTCTCCTAAGTCATGTTTTACACCTCCAGTTATTGCAGTGACTTCTCTGAAAAATCTCTCCAGTTGACCCACATCTTTTTGAAGTGCAGTGTCTAAAAGTACATGCTGTGATTTAGCCAAGGCCTTACCTGTGCCAAGTAGAGCATCCAGGTCGCTTTGTGTATCTCTCAGATGACACTCCTTTTTATACATTCCAGTATGTTTCCCCCTTTGCAATGCCATGACACAGATGGCTCACCTTTACCTTGTAATAATAGCCCCGTGTCCTCTTCTACAAATTGTTACCGGACACAGCATTCCAGGGTATCCTTATACAGTAGCTGACTGCTTCAGCCTTGCTAGAGAACTTCATAGTTGTCCTTTCTCCTCTCCATGTTCCCCACCACTCCGCCCCAAGAGCTTTCTTCTAATTTGTCAAGGGGTTTGGGGGGATTTGGGGAATAAAAAAAAAAAAAAAAAAAAAAAAAGACAACAGACCCAGCACAAACTCCAGAAAACCCCAAGCTGAAGTAGCCTTCTTATTTGACAAAGAATCACTGACAGCTACTTTCTAAGTTGGATGCTGGATTTTCCTAAAGATTTTCCTAACCCACTAAATCCCAGAGTAAGGATTCACTCCACATCACTTACAGCCTGCAAAACCATTGGTGTCCTATTAATTGCAGGTATCACATCGTATCCATCAAACTGAGACACTGTACTGCCAATTCATTTCATTGGGTGACCAGAACCTGAAGACCAAGCCATTAAGTGCCCTCCATAAACAAAACGTTGGAAACTTCTGTCTACACAAGTATTTTAGCTCATCTCTGAAAAAGTATCATATAGGACAGTGCTTAAATACCTTACACTAGCCTCTTCCCCAAGTCTCTTCCTCACAACTATTCACTGACAGAGGATAAAAAAAGGTGTTTCTCTTCAGAGAAGATACATCCAAATTTACACTTCAAATTATTTCAAGGAAATACTGCTTTTACCAACACTTATGATTTAACAGACAAAACCTCAAAGGAGACCAGATTTTTAGTTTGTTAAAGACACCCCTGAAAGTGAGGTCCCTTTATGTTTAAAGTTCAGCAAACAAAATAGCGATGCAGTAGAAGTTGCTATCCAATTCTGAAACTAGATAATTGCAGAGAATTATTCATAAAAAGCTAGAGTTTCATTTTTCATACTTGAAGGTTGTTATTATGAGTCTTCCACGATACAATGCCAAGACTGTTAAGTGCTGTTAGATGGTAACACTTTATTATAGGAGCTTGAGCATACAGATATAGGAGAGAATAAAAATTCCAACAGAATATGTGCACAGTTCTTCATTAAGAACTAAGCAGTAACGATACAGGGCAAAAGGTCTCCCTCAGAACCTTAGTTTGCAGATCCTCTGTAAGATCATTTACTAGGAGACAGATTTCAGCTTTAAGGGCTTGTCTATATTCTTGTCCAGGTATATGGACAGAAGCTGTCCAAACCAACACAAAATGCCAGCCAAACGTCCACACAAATTACTCTTGCTCCTAGTAAACTACATGCATACAGCTTGGGACTTGAATACACATGGACGAGGTAATTTTTTTCTATAGCGTAGATACAGGCCTTTTACAGACGTAAGGCAATAATACTATTTCCCCTGCCCTATCAAAAATTTTTCTCGAGACATTAAAAAAATGTAAAAAAAATTCAGTTACCGTCTTTTGCAGGTAGAGTTTTTCCCCTGTTAGCAGTCACAGAGTTGGTTTCAGAAGCACTGTCTTTCTTCGCCATATTTAGGCCTATAAAAAGAATAGATACAATTAAATATATACATCCTAACAATGAACAATAATTCTGCAGGAAAGTCACATACAAATAAAAAGAATCTGACAGATTTGCAGATTAGTGGATGCACAGATAAAACTCTACAATTCCTTAGATTCTTGATAAATGAGTAAAACAAGATGACAGAATTTTTTCGATGGATAAGCACAGATGTTAAACCCCTTAACACATTAAAACATTCCACACTATCTTGCTAAACAGTAGTCTGCAAAATACTAATGTTTATACTGAAGGAGTTTTCCTTAAATCTTTCAAACATTTACATCTATTATAAAAACAACATTCAGTACTTGAGGTATATTATTCACTGGTATGAATTGCACAATTTCTGCATTAATGATTATATATAAAGTTTTTAGAGATTTGAGACCAAATCTTCAGTCTACAAATAATGAAGTAAGTATGCCAATATGATTTTTAAGAGCCTAACTCTTAGAGCAGCAATGTTCTGAGAGACATATGAACTAGTACTACCACATAAGTTATAATCTGTGAACAGCATTCTGCATTTCTGACAGTGCCCTACCCTAACTCAATGACGAACAAGCTTAACTATGATTTATCCGCTCCCTGTCATGAAAGAAAAATCACATCTTTTTTATTTAACTACATCTCTTGGTTTAATTCAGCTACAGGGACTGAACTAGTTTGCACATGTACTGTTATTTTCCAAAATTTTATGGTTTAGCCATTAAGGCCAGATCAAAAAACAGATCAAAGTTTTGTGACTGACAACACATTTCTCAATTTGATCACAGTAATCCTTTTCCTAAAATTTTCAGAAAGACCTGTTATCATCAATCTGATGGATTATTCAAATCCAGTAGAAACAAATAGTATTTGGAAGTGTCTATACAGACTATATTTTACTTTGCAGCTTATAACCATATCTACAAGCAGCATATTAATTTTTCTGGGATCATTACAAACCAATGTATTGCAGCAGTGAAGTTTAAGAGACAGAAATGTAAACTGGTGATGTATGTAAACTCTGCAAAACAAAGTTCTGCCTCTGCAGTTTTACCCTCCCACTCCAGCCAGGGACTCAGCCAGGTACATTAATTCTAATGAAGCTTTCAACACAAGAACATCTTACAAACAGCAGCTTCCAGATGACTGCTAGTAGATGTAAGCTCTGCTGGGCAGATGATGCCTAACTCGTTCTGATTTCTACCTAAAGCCAAGTATCAAATGCTTAAAATTTACAAAGACACACATGCACCTTTGTGACAGAAAAGGTGGTTTATGGCTGAACTGCCTGTGACAAAGGGAACAGTCCTTTCTGTGACAGTTTGATGAGCTACAAACAGTTCACAACAAACTCAATCAAACACTGAAAAGTATTTAACAGAAAATGTCAGCTTAGATCTGCTCCTGAGCAATACTCCTAACAAACCAATTATTCCAAGAAGCTTTTTACACAACATGTCCATTTATAAATAGCTTAGATCCTGTGCTAATTGTAAATACTCATAATTAAAGCTTACTTCCCCCTCAATCAATGTAGTTACATAAGTCATTCAAAATGCTGTCAAAATGCATCTCCTCCATCAGCCTGGCACATTGTTTCTCTACCCTGTGTATTACTGGTAAAGCGTGTAGTGTTTTAGGGTGTTTGAGTAAACTCGACGAGACTGTATGAGTATCTTCCAGCCCTACACTGTGCTGCCTTAGAATGAGTCACCTAACCAGGGTTCAAAAGGCAAAAGAAATGACACGTAATGACATCGTTATGTACCCAGCCAGACACAGGGCCAGGTTGTGTGTGTGGGCACTACACACAGCAGGGAAGAGTCTGTACTCCCAACACCTTAGAACCTAAGCAGACAGAAAAAATGCATCATTCTTACTTCACAAGGAGGGAACTTGCACAGAAGGATTAAGTAATTTGAGTAAACTGCTAAGAAACTAAACCAGAGCTGGGGACTGAGCCAAGCAGTAGACTGAGGCCTTATTACAAGGACATCCTTTCTCTTCTAATTTGCCTCTGGTTTTACTCAGATAACTTAATTAGCAGATAAAACACAATCAGTTGAATAGTTCCTTGATTATTTTGCCAGAAAATAAATTAAATTTCTTCAATTACTATACATAAAAATGAATATAGATTAGTTTCTAGATTTTCAGTGAGAGGTTTCAGGTTACCCAGGAACATCTTAGTAAATGGAATCACATTAAGTTTAGGCATTTAACTGATATCACAGCCAATCTGAAATTACTTTAATGGCTTGAGAATAAATGTTGTGGTGAACTTCTTTTTTTAAAGAGTATGTAAAGACTATAACCTGATCACTATAATCACTAAACAGCTACACATAATGTCCTTCCAGCACCAGTTTACAGGCTATCCAACTTCTAATAAGAAGAACATCTGGTTAATAAATATCACCTTCTAATTCCAAGGGATGAACTAATTCCAAACAAGTATTTTAATATCAAGATTTACAGGATTGGTGCTAATTCTTGAGGATTAGTATCTCTCTATCCTATCTCAACATACAAGAAAACACTCACCAGAATTCACTTTGGAAGTTATGTGACTCACATCTATTTTCTTAGATTTGACCAAAGGTGAAGACCGCATGGAAGAACTTCGTACAGAGGGTTTTTTGAGATCAGAAGCCTTGCTTATTTTAGAAAGAGGTGCAAAGATACCTGGAGAGAAAATGGTATGTGACAAAAAAAGAACCAGGGGTAGTATTAATGTAAAAATCTTTCTGGCTGCTATCTCTTACATCAATTAATTTATGGGTCTTTTCAGCCACAGTAATAGCTTGTTATGCTGCCAGAGCACTTGTAGGGTAGGAAGGACTAGCTCAAACAAACAGTGAAACCAAAAGGCTTATTGAGCAACTTGAACAGAGTAATGTGGGAAGTCAGTAAAACTATCAAGTTGAATCTCCTTTTTGTCCTAAGGGTAACATTCAGCCTCCACTGTTGCAAAACACAGACATCGTATATCATGAGTGTCCATGAAATACCAATTAAAATACCTCAAGCTGAAAGTTAGAAAACAGCTACAAGCATGAATCTCTTCGAAAGGAAGACAAGGCAGGTAAAGGAACACGGCCATTATTGTTACAACACAAACAAAATGGTTTCAACAATATAGGTGGAAAACCAGGAAAGGTGATTATGCCAGAGTTTCAAGGAAATAACCAGAAATAACCGGAAATAAACAGAAATTTTGACTGCTTGGTTGTTTCCGTGGCTTTGCAAATGGCTGCAGCCAAAACAGTCGGAACAAAGATTCAATAAAACAAACAGAAAGCACTATAAAGAAAAGTAACAGAATTTGTTATGTGTTTTTATTCTCCCTAAAGGTTCATATCTTCCAAAACTTTTTTTAAAAATCAGGTTTTTAAACAATTTAAGAAAAAAACTAAAGGTTATACCGCGTTTTGGTGCACACTTGAAGTACTGGACTTTTCCAACGCTTCCATTGTTCTTTCCTTCTGGTTCATCCAGCTCTATGCCAGCCCACTGACCACTGGCAAATTCCGTTGTCCCGCAAAATCTTAATGTACCAACCTAACACAAAAAGCATCAACACAGAATGACTGTCAAACAAGTATTGTTCATAGATTATGAAGAAGCAGGCAAGTCATCTCCAAGCTCCTGATCACAATGGAGAAATACAAACATAATAGTCTCCCTCCATCACTAACAGTCCTATCTTTCAATGCCAGCCAACGCATCTTCCAAAACACCTTAGTCTCCCTGCATATATGTTGCGTTACACAAAAGCAGTGGTTACTGACAGATCTCATAAGATAAGAATTAGACAGTAAGCACCACTGTACAATACAACTCCAAGTCAGCAAGGTACAGGAGTATATGACCAATGAGAAGTTTGATTACTTTCAGTGTCTTTCACAATAATAGTTCCAGATTCATGCCTAGAAATCTTGCTCAACTGGAGATTCCATGGAAATACCAGATTAAAAAATTCTATAAATATATCTGTGTGTATAAATGTATACCTGTAAGTATACAGATACATTTCTATATATACATTGCAAAGGGTAAACTTCAGAGCCTACTTAATTTTTTCTTTGGAAAAGATTCATAAGCCTTTTATTCCCTACTTATGATGAAGCAAAATTTTAAAAGCCAGCAAATGTTTTAAACATTTTGTTGTTTTTGTTGTTGTTTCAATATATACTACAGTACATATACTCTGAACAGATAAGCATATCAAGAATATCAAGACAGACCAGTCTTGCTGGTGGACCTCAGTCTCCACAAATAGACATTATAAGCTCACACACTTCAGCCAAACAGGGGAGGAGTAACTAATAACGATGCATTTAACATGGATTTAAACTCATTTTTGTATTTGATTTTTCATTAGTTCCCATGCTAAAAACCTTTGAACTTGCAGTTGCTCAGTTTTCGTTACCTCATGTGACCTTAATACAATTAGTTCATTTATTACTATGGCTTCACTCTCTAATCCAGCCCTCAGTAAATAGAAAGAAACCGTTTTTGTTCTTTACTATAAAACCTACCAGCTACTCTTTCTTAACGTTCTGTAAGAAATAAATGTCACCCAGAGCCTGTTCCTCTTTTATACTCTGAAGATGTCCTTTAAACTTGATTGTTATGGGCAGGTACATCATGCCAGACTCTAATCCAGACTCAGAGTTTTTAGCTACCAAGCCAGAGATCACATTCAGCCAGAGGAGGCTTGGCCAAGCAGCCTCACAGATTCCTCCACTCCCCGGGCACCAGCCAAAGGGCACTTACGGAGCAGACAGGAGACACCAGCAGGCATCTTAAACTGGAGGTTTGAGACGGCAAAACTGAGGCTCCAATTTTGCACAAGCCCGAGGACTTCTGCAAGGAAGGAGCAGAGCACATCTCACACATGAGAATCACAGTAGGAATGGGAGAAAAGAGGTTTCTCCCACTACTGGTTTCCCTGCACTCACATTTAATCGACTGTCCATTCAGACAACATATAATCTAAGCACAGCAGGAGCTGGTGAAGCCAGGGAACCCCAAATCGTGTAGACATGAACACCTGCTTTCGCAGATTCCTACCCTCTAAGACAACTACAACAGGTGCAGTAGCAATCAGGAGAGGAATCCATTTTCTCTCTGGCATCTACTGTGCTTGGCTTTCAAGCTTCACTAAAGCTGGTACGTTGGGAGACTGCAGAAGCAGGAAAGAGAACAGGAATCACTAAACACACGGAATGTAAAAATGCTGCTGTTCCAGGGCCCTCATCTCAGCTTCCATATTCTGGAAATGAGAACTGATCCAAGAGGAGGTTAAGAATTGGGCACCATTTTCATCATCCTTTTGCCCCACCCTGCACACAGTTATGATGTCAAGGGAGAGAGGAAGACAAGGCTGAAATCAAATTCTCCATTCAGACAAATGGAGAAAGTGGGTGGGAAACATGTGGGAGTAATGCACAACAGCTCCTCACACACAAAGAAAGGAAGGGAGGAAAGCAGACGTGGAAAAGGAAGACCAAAAAGCACAATCATATTACTCCTTCCCACCTGCCATACGACAGCTTTGGCTCCCTTAAAAAAAGCTAGCTGGAAAGCCCTGCTGGCCTTTCAGCAGCAGGAAAACTGCTTCTAACAACTTCTTAAAAAACACTGTAATAGCATATTCGAAAAAAAATTTTAAAAAGTAACCAAATCCAGGAAGCTTTATCCATACATGATAAGCACATTACAGTACAAACAGTTCTATGAGCCATACTTGGAGGAGAGATACACTAATTTCTTCCTTTTCTTGCTATAAAGCCTCTATTAACTTGCAGTTACATTATCTCCCCTTGCTTTCATTGTGCAATGGCTTTCTGTAGAAGAAACTTCCATGAACTTCTTACTCTCCTTAAAGAATAAGCAGCTTCCTCTATGTACTTCAGTTAAAATGCCTTCTGCATAGCTAGCAATTACTTTGCTGTCCCTGACCCAATTTCAAGAATACACCAAATGAAAACAGAATGGAAGCTGCTCTGTGCTCTCAGCGGAGTTTGCTTTAGAACACTTCAGTTGTGACACTTCCAAATCTGAAGTTATACTAGAAAAATTATTAAAAGTAAAGCTACTCAAACATAAACTTGTGCTCACAAATGCCTTCAATGTTTACCAGAAAAATATTTGGACTCTTGAAAAGAGTTCTAGCACTTTTAAATCATTTCAGAGCCCTTCCTATCAAAGCAAATAAAACGTATGAATACTAGCTGCAATATCAATGTTACATTTTTTAAATACATTTTTTAAAATGTGTCTAGCAAGGTAGCTTCTTAAAAGCTACTCACATTTGAGCTGCACCACTATTAGCTATATTCTCATACATCCACAGAACCATGTCACAACCCCACTGGCACAGCACTGCTTCAGATATTTTAGCTGCATTGCACCAGTGAAATTGGGTTACTACAGGCTAAGCAGAATTGAAGCTTTCTTTTACCACCTTCCGGAAACCATCAGGGGTAACTGATGAATGCATACCTATAACTGAAAGCCGGGCAACTCACAAAGTAACCTGTAAATTTTACCACCATTTTGATGTGACACCAAAAATGTTAGTAACAGCTGAGCCATGGTGATGTGCTATAGGAGACTGTTACAAAATTGGTTACAGATACAAAATGCAGGCCATGCCTGCCAAAACAGCTTTTCACAGTAGGGACTTTCTTTAACACATAACTGTTCAGCTTATGACTTTCTGAAACCAGATGCTCACTGTCATCCAGAGTTCATACCTTCCAGAAAGTGTTTTAGACCCTCAAATTTGAGATATGTCTCCAAAGGGGTAAACAAATTGTCCTGCAATTATAAGAGTAGTACCAAGTTGCTCATCATACCTTCTGTCCTGCAATAACAACACGATCTCCCAGTTTCAGGCCAAGCGACAAAAGCATGGCCTTGCCCGTGACATGATCATAGTTTGGAATCATGGCTTTTGAGATGTCACATGAGAGAGGCACTGCATCCAGCAATATCTGCTTTATTTCTTTTGCACTGGCTGCTGCATCTGCCATTTCCAGTGGCATGTCTACCGGATCTGGAACCACATCTGCTGGAATCTGCCCTTTGTCATTCTGCAGAAACATAGCACAGGGTTTAATGTTGTGACGAGATAAACCTCATTAGGCAACACCATAGTAGTTTATGAAGTTTTTAAGCCTCTTCATTAGATATTTTTCCTAGAACATAAACAACTATAAAGACATCCACATTTTCAAATAAGGATGCCAACACATCCTTAGATACATAAACTAGCATTTACAGAGGCTCATTTTCAAAAGTGCGAAGTTACAAACATTTTTTATCTAAAGAACACTGTTAGTACTAAGAACACATGAAAAACATACCTGTATATATCTATGTACCTGAACAGATTTAGAAAAGTAAGCAAGAATCCTGGAATGTAATACCAATACTGTAAAGCTAATACTGTCCAAAGATTTTATCTTTACCCAGTGTATAGTCTACTCCTTAGCAAGGCATATTCCAAATGTAAGATAGAATTTAATTAACATATGTTGCACGTATAGAATACACAAAGCTGATGTCTCGTATAACTGCTTGAATAAACCTGTTTGGATTTATTTAGATACAGACTATTCCATGAGAGATGAATTAAGGACAAAGTCCTTTCCAAACACTTCCCATTCCCAGAGAGCAGCGCTGGTGATTCCCTGTATATCCCCTGTGATGCTCGCCCTAGGCCAGAGTTGTTGGTGTCCCAGCTTGCCTGGAGTTAACCTTAAACTCAAGGCCAGTTGGCCACACAGCAAGTACACTGTTGGGCTGTCAGGCTGCTACAATGGCAAGTTCTGGCCACGCTTTCTTCAAAGGCATTCGTATGGATCTGTACTTATGTGCCAATTTTCACAAAGTTTTCACAAACTCTCTGGAAACGTAATTAGCTCAGTCTTCCAAATTTGTTACAACTGAGCCCCTGGACTCAGAAATTACCAGAAGCTCAGAGGGAATGATGCAGAGCAAGACTGTATTTGCTTTGTTTCCTTTAAAAAACAGACTAAAAACTCTTAACTTCCCTCAGTCCCCTATCTCCCTGTCTCAGTCCCAGAAAACTGTAATCCTTACTCAAATCCATTTACACTCTGCCGTCCTCATAGGAGCAAACTACACACTGTCTCTGGTCAGAACTTTATTGTGGGATTGAAGAATTAAACACCTACCACTCATTAAAAATCTATGGTCATTCTGTAAATAAAAGGTCAGCTCCATTCAAGTCACAGTACCTTAAAAACAGGATACAGCTGGGTTAAAGTTGAGTGGGGCGTTTGTTTTGAGTTTTTAGTCATCACATTAGCGATTGTTTCAGTCAGATCAGTCCCACAATTCAGCCCACCAGGCACCCTGCAGATCTCTGTGTAACACAAGGTAGGGGCAGAGCAGAGGGAAGGCAAAAGCAGGCAGTGGCACAGGATTGCTTTTCTCAAGGGCAGAGCCACCTTTTACCAGCTCAGAATGCTCATGCAACTACAAAGCCACATTCCCTGTGACAACATGCTCTGAAACATACAGGTGCCATAGAATGTGAAACATGTACATGCACACTAAATACTGAGACAAAGAAGAAAAACAGGATTTTTAAAGAGATTCAGATCGAATACTATGAAAAACTGTATAAGCAAAGGTTTTCCAGAAGATTTTATACCATCAGTGATACATAAAGCAATGATTTTTTTAGTACCCTTAAAACAATTATAATTTCTCATTAAAAAAAAAGCCCATAAAAAACAATCAAAACCCAAGATTTGTGGCTAGACACATCCAGCAGCACAGTACACTAACTCAGGCCTACTATTTGCTTAGCAAGCAGAGCAGTTCACGTTTCTTCATTACCAGTTATTTATGCTGAGATTAACTTTACTGCTAAGCAACACGCTGCATTTCTGGAGGTCAGAGATTGCACTCCTGTATTTCTGAGAAGACCCACCATTGCCATGACAACTGTTGCAAAACACAAAGGAGTATTAACAAATGGAAGTTGAAGCAACAAATAGAAGAGCATCTGGAAAGCTACTTGAACTAATGAACGAGACTGCGACACAAAAACGCCAACTTCAACACACAAGCATAACAAAGCATACAGAATCCTCCAGTACAAGTTACAAATAATCTGAGGCACTATCACTCCATGTAACACGTTTTCAACTAACCAAAATCCTGGACAGACCGTTCAATTTTTCCAGGTACTTTCTTCACCTTTTGGTGAACCTACAACCTAACTCCTTACCCTAAAGGCAGGATTTGCTCCATGTTCCAGTAAACACTTGACAGCTCCTGTACATAGGTTAAATGCAGCAATATGCAAAGCGGTTCCAAAATCAAAATCACTACAGGTGGCATCCACATCTGCAATTAAACATCACATGTGAGGTACACAAGTCCGTTACATGAACATTTCACCCTGCAGATCCCTTGAGAGGACATTCATTTTTACAGTTTCTGTTAACATGTATACAGAGACACCATTATGTATGGACTAAATGCATATGAGAAGTAATTCCACATTAAATATCAACTTCATCTGCATCTGTTTATTCACACCATGAAACAAGCTGGAAGATGAGCATTTACTTTCATTCGGTTTAGAACACTGATGACTTCACTGCAAAATTGTTGCTATTCAGGTCGCTCAGTCTACTGTGCTAAGATTAACAAGTCAGTAGCTCCAGGTTTGCATGCAAACTAATGTTTCAGAAATATTCATATTTTATGGCTTCTAGGTGTCAAATGTTAAAACGAGATGCATCTTCAACCACTTTTCCTTTGTGAGCAGGTAGTGGGGCAAAAGAAATCTGATGATACCTTTGCTTTACATTGATTTAATTACTCATGGCCAAGAACAAAGTAAGAGCTAGTGATTTTTATATTTTCTTTGTTTTCAAAGAATTGCACTCTGAAGGGTCTTGCACCGATAGTTTGGAAAATGGAGCACTGCATTTGACTGGAAGAGATTGAGCATAATATATATTTCTGTCAGTTGTTCCCACTGTATCTTTCAATCTGCTATGAAGTTATTGCTGTTCTAGAAGACTGGAGTTTTAATGTCTATTTAGTCTTTGGCTCCTCTCCTAAACTATACAAGAGAGGTGTCAATTATATATCTATATGAATGTTAATTAGAAATGCCAGCTGATTTAATGTACAAACCAAAAGCCAACAAGTATTAGCAATAATGTTACAATTTGAAATACTGGTGAGGAACATAAAACTTTCCACCTCAGGGCTGTACAGTCTCCTAGTATTTTCCAGTACCAGTCTCTGTCTCAAAAACCACTAGCCCTTCTCACAGCATGATAAACAAAATATATCCCAGCTATTAGTTATATTCAATTTGATATTTTGAGGGAAAAAAAAACATCAATATATACAGAAGATATTTACATACAGATGTCTCATCATAGATAACTTTATATGTACTACGAAAGAGTGACTCTGAATTGCATCAAGATCAAAGATAACAAATTTGGGGTCAAATTTTAACAGTTTTACAGTTGCAGTAGTAAGAATACAAACAGCTTTTTTAGATTTAATTTGCACATGCCTTCGCATGATGCTACCATAACGACAGCTACATATGCAGATGTATCTTTTATATATCAATTGTCAAAACATCATTACCAGTTTAAAACTCAGTAGCAGTTGTGTAGTTGTATACAACCACTGAAACTTCTGTGTTTAGAAAGGCTATCAAGTATTTTCTGCACAAATAGGAACTCATTTGCACAAGTACTGATCAGTAATGTCACCTGCCGAGCCACAAACAGTTGCATGTACTCCTATTTTAAAAAGTAACTGAATAGTTGATTGTTTTTACTTAATTAGACCAGTGTGCCTTCCTCAGATTGGCAAGCTTCATGCTCAGAATTTTTAAACACTGTTTTCTTGCAGCTCTACTCTAGGTCTAAGTTGGCATAGTACAGGTGACAAAAAGAAACCCATATATACCAAACATTACCCAGTAACCACCCCCAAACTATCTCGGGGAAATTACTATGCAGCAACGGTCTGCCATTACCAACTCATGCAGGCTACATTCATCGTCTAATGGCAGCACACAACATTTCTAATTCTTAAGCTTTTAATCATTTTTCTATTTAAAACCTCTCAAAATCTAAGAACAAACTAGATCTCTGTTCTAACAATTGAGGCGTAAATCTGTATAAAGAATTTAACTGCAGAGTGTCATAAACAGTGTAGCAGTACATCAAAAGGAAACATCTGTGGTACTGGCTGTTCACAATGGGTGTCTCAGTATACCACTGTCTTGAAAAGTTATTTATACATTAACAACCCCTTTATCTCTCATTCAGTACAGATCCATCTGAGGCATATCTGCCTTCTACGTCCATTCTCCTCTCTTCTCTGGGAACTGCCTGATCAAGTATGGAGCTAAGATTATTCTTTCTATTCATTCAGACCATCCATTGTTTTCATGTCACAGGACAAATTTTATACACTTTCTGAGATTACAAACATCATTTGCTTATCCAAGAGTTGCCAGCTGCCAAGGCATTTAACCAGAGTGGTTTCCTTGGAAATCTGAGCAAATTCCCACCCCTTCCGTAGGCTCTGCACAGGAGGAGACGAAAACACCAAATGCAAAGGAGATCTGAAAGAAGACCTCATCTGCTGATGCCAGTTATGGAGATAGGACTATTGAAATGAGACACGGACTTAACTACTGTGCAGTCTTATTTTGTCTTTTGTTACCATCCTACACCTGTAACCTCTTAAGCACGTCATACCAATAACAGCTCTGTTGAACAATTAACCTCCATGATGACTCAAGATATGACAAGGAAGCCTTGTGTACTCCAAAAACTTATCAGCTCTGCAGAATTTTGAGACAGTCTTTTAGTTACAACTAGCTAAAAAAGTGTATTAATCGTTTTTCAAAATGGCACAATCAGGATGATATTCAGTACAGCAAATGAACATTTGTACAATTCGAGCATTAAAACTGCTTAGTGGTTTTGATACCCTGACCAAATTAGGAACAAATGGTTCTGGTTCAGAACCATTTTGGTAATTCCATTTGCATTAGTATAAATAGGGCTCCAAATACCAATCCAGCAATTATTGTAATTCCAAAAGCTATTAGCTATTTATGTCAAACACTAAAGTCAGACTGCTCCTTACACATGACTTTCCAGATAGCCAACAAGTGGGAAAAAGGAGCACGTCAAAGTTGCTTCAGTCACTGGTTTGCCATATGCGGTTGCCAAATTCCCGCTTCTCCTCTACCCTTCTCCCAACATTTCAAACGTAATTCTTAATGTTTAAAGAGTCTTGAAAATGCTAAGAATTTACCAGAATAGTTACATCTTTCGTTTTCTGCATATGTTCTCTTAGTCCTTAACAACTTAGAATTAACCTGTTTGCCTTCTGTTCTATTTGATACTTCTCTACCACCTTGTAAAAAGCTCAAGTTTAAAAACCAGCAATGGAACCAGCACAGTAAACCAAAAAAAATAGGGTAAGAGGAAAAATGAACCAATGAGGCTGACTAGAAGAATAAGAAATTAGAAACTATTTCTGTATCATGGATAAACAAACTCCACACTTACTCTACACACCAACCCAGGGTCAACAGAATAACAAAATACGGACAACTACACGAAACAGGAATAACAATGCCTACCTTTTGGCTTTGCGTTTTTCAAAATAACACTAATCAGTTCTGGAACATCAAAGTAGGCAGCATAATGCAAGGCATTCATATTTGTCCAACGGCTGCGTAAACTGCTATCAGCACCCAGATCAATAAGCTGCGTTGCAAATTTTACAGCGGTTTCAACATCACCTGCAAGGTACATTTTGTAAAATACGCATTAGAGATTTCTTTGACCTCAAATACCATGCCCACGCTTATGTGTAACACATAATGTACGTTAAACCCTTAAAGCTCATAGCAGAACAATTACTACACCTTGCTTTTCAGGATTAGGATGCAGAAATCTTTGCCTTTTATCATAAAGGGCTGAAACCTCTACTGTAGTATATAATAATACCTGTTTATCCCTAATGTAAATAATGTGCCACCGATGAACACCAGGGATTGTATTATCTGACAGAAGAAATAAAACTATATGCCACAATGCTGAAGTTTATGTTAAAAGATCTGCCAACACCAGAAAAAAGCTAACCTATGCCAGACCACACTCAGAAACTTAGTTCAAAGTCAAGAGAACTGGGTTTGGGTCAACAAAAACATACCACAATACAGAAAAGCTAGTAGGGATGTTCAGAGTTAAATACGCTCTTATTTCCAGTATTTATCATCACAGTAATGCAAAAAAAAGATGATTGTTTTCACCCTGATCATGTCAGTAGAAAGAAAAAACCCCAAAGAACAGCCAGTCACCTAAATGTTCTAGTTTCACTCGTGTAAGAAAATTGTTGGTAGCTTAGTCCACAATTTGTACCTCAGCGTGAAAAAGCCTTTGCTACGTTACACTGGTACTACCCCTTGCAATATCTGTACCACTAACTCAATCCCAACTGCCACAGCAACAACTGTGCTGCAGGTTTGTATCTTCCTTTCCATGGCCACAAGGAGAACCAAAACCAAGCACTAACCAAGCATTGCAAGGAAAAATTCTCTAATACTCAGCGGGATTAGCTGACTGTTAGGTCAGCTAAAAAAATAGGTTTTTACATCTCTGATGACATTTCTTTACTCACCAATACCGTGGGCCCCTGATTTGCAAGTGTAATGCAAGAGAGTCATGTCAGTCAGTCCATCTCTGTCATTCACATTGCAACCCCTTTTAATGATCTGAGAGACAAATGGGAAACAAGCACATTTTAGCTCGGGCATCTCTCTGACATCAGTATTATTTAGTAACTTATTTCAGATATATTGTCTCCTGCATTCATTTTAATGGCTAATAATAAAGAATCCTTCCAGAGTAGACTGTAACTGCAGAACTGAGCAACAGGCACAAACGCAATAAATAGTATTAGATATCATTAACCTTCATTGTCTACAGAATTTAATGCTTCTTTATATTATTACTTTTAACATACATTTCACCGGCTGAAAAGTTAACTGCTTAACTGAACAACAGGAAAAATAACTTTATGAAGTCCCGCCCTTGTTCTCTGATCTCTCAACAATCTTCCCCCCAAAAAAGCCCCCAGTCATACTACAGTAGGAAAAATCTTTACTATACTCCCCCACCTGTCTAGAAAAGCCTGTAATCCAGAAGAAGAAAAATAAGAGAGTAGGGTGGAATTACTAGAAACTGGGTGTCTTCTGAAAGCAGCCTACTGCAGGCTGCCAAGAGATTTCAGTTCCTAACTCATTCTGTGCCTTGGAATCACTGCCCTTAAGGTCAGGCTTCACTGTAACGTTATAGACTGGAGTTTACAGTTACTGCTAAGCAGGAAACTGAAACACCAGGGTGAAGGGGCTCTAAACAACTGCTTTGAGAAGAAACATGATTTCTACCATCTATCCAAATGTACTGAATTTTTATCCATCATCTTTCTCTTTCCAAATGAAAGCTGACATGTGGAATACAAGGCACTGATCAGTAACTACTTGTTAAAAGGCAGAAACTGTATCTGTGTTTATGATTACTTCTGCTTCTGAAGGAACTGGTTTTACGCATTGTCAACATAGTATTTCTTTAACACTAAGAGCTTTCAAGGATCTTCATTTATACCTCACCTCATTCCCAATAATATCAATATTTTGCTGGACCTGTGGAACCCACTGCCTTAAGATAGCAAACAATTCAGAAACTGATGTTTCAGGGTTGAAAAGTATCTCTTGGCATGCTGCATCATTGGGATCGAAGAAGGAAAACTCTGTTAAAAAAAAAAAAAGGAATCATTAAGTACAACTGTAAGTTTTAACATACATCTAGCTTGTCGGAGCCAGAGGCAAAGGAGAGTCACTTCACTACTAATCACACAGAACGTTGAATTAATTTACATAATTTTCTTTAATATCTGGTCTATTTTTCCTTTAATACTAAAGTCTTGCTTATATTTCTGAAAAAGCTTTGAATCAGCAGCCAATGGTACTGCAAGACTGATTTTAAGTTGAGGCAAGGGCTAACAGAGATGCGCAGCCAAAGACTGCTGATTCTAAGCTGTTCCCAAGCACAGACAAGTCTCTGGAGCTCTCAGTGATTAAATGTGTACATAATTTCTCCATATGCTACAAAACATGTCTTTTCCTTCTTCTTCCACCACAATTTACATAAAACATACCCAAATATAAACACATGAACAAATCAGGAAGGCCGTCTATGGCTCCATTATTTTCAGATATTTCATGAATGTAACAGTCCCAGCTGGTGGCAGCTACAGGTAACACACATCTTTAAAAATTAAACCACCAAACCAAGATCAGAAAAAACATCTATTTTTAAAATTTTAAGCCTCATTTTGCTTCAGGCAACCCAAAATAGAGGTGTAAAAAACACCTTATCATTAAAGTATGATATTTCATCTTTCTTACAGGCGTATGTGTGTGCATGTATAGACACATACTGTATTTTACATTTGTGAAATTTCTTCCAGCTCTAGAAAATTATATGACAGAACCTGGAGAGCAATGGCTATTTGAAGAGGGAATGGAAGCAGAACCTACTGTCATCAGCAAATGACTGAATCATGGAAATCACTGAACTTTTACCCTCACTGCAGCTATCAGGGAGTTGCCTTTTAAAAAGGTTTCAAATAAATGTACCGTGTCAGCTTCCATCAATCGCAGAGACAAGGCTCTCAGAACAGACATACAGGTTAAGTAAAATAGAGCATCAGCCATCTGGGTGTATGACATGGTACAAACCACCTCTGGATGAATCAGCATAACCTTTCCTCAAAAGGAAAACAGCCATCAGAACAGGTGATGATCAGCTGCAGGTTTTGTAAACCAAAGAAATGTTACAGAAAATCTGTTTAAAACAGAAAGTTCCATGAAAGGATGACAAGGGCATCTAAATGCTTTACAACATTACTTTGTCACCTCTGTCTTTCCCATGCAGTGATTACAGTGCTCAACGGTATTAAGGAAAAATAAATGCACTTAATGTAAGAACCAAGAATCTTTGTTGTGGTTTAACCTTCTTTACCCAGATTCAGTAACATCACTGTTACACAGATGACAGTGATCTCCTATAAAAGGAATTTCTTTTATTAAATGAGTAGGCATAGACTGTGTAGGACAGATAGTAGTGATACTGTAGTGTTATGAGAAGATATCACAACACAACAAAGTTTAAAGAGGATGAATAGAAAATTTTCTAAGGAATAAGAAGGCAGAATGGAATAAATCATGACAGTACTTCGAGTAGAATAGGACAGACATGAGAACAGGGCTAAACCATATAAAGACACATGTTCATGTACTAAAATATATCCTATGGAACTGTTAAATTTCCAACCTGTGCTAACTCACCAATGGCTCTCAAGAATGCTGAGGCTGTCCAAACAGAACAGAACATGACATCTATTTATTTTTCCTGAATACAGTTGATTGCTGTAATCAATGCATGGGAAAAACAGAGGTGGAGGCAATCATTTTTAAGGTATGCAGATGCTATTAACTTCTGCAATATTCAAAGGCATTAGAATTGTAGCTATCTGTGAAGATCCTTACCTACAGTGACATTTAATATATTATACCCTGTTTGAGTATTATTATAATTTATACACGTAAAGACAGCTCAACTATTTCGAAAGCTGATAAGCAATACTTGCTACAATTTCTAAAACTCATTTCACAGTCCACAAACATCCACACTTTCGATAGAAACATCCCCTTACAGTCTATTCTTTACATACTGAAAGCACGAGCAAAAGGTGTGACTCCAGAGTTTTTTAAATGTGATGTAGATGCTTAACTACATTCAATTACTGCAATTTCACATCTTAACACAAATATCTGACCACAGACAGAGAAGAAACAGTAAGAAGGAAGAGACATTATAATTTAAAATGCATGCCATAGAAAAACAGAAAAAACATGGGTCTTCATCGTTCATTTCCTTTAAAAAATAATAAGAGATTTCCTTTAAGAAGCAGTAAACTTTTTCTGAAGAGAAGGAATAAATTAAGACTCGATAGCTTTTCTTAAATTTCAAAATTATTCTTCGCCGGTCACAAATTAATTTTCTATTAAAAGTACATACCACAGTCTGAAGGCATTGGTGCTGCAGCAACAGAGAAAGTAACAGGTGTGTCAGAGTTTGGGAATAAGAACCCTTCTCTTTCAATGAGGGAATCTCCTTCTAAGGAAGGTTCTGGGAGATCCTCTATGGTCATCTTCTAGAAAGCCACTTTAGGAGGAAAAAAATTAATAAATAACATCACTAGAAATACTCTGGATTAGTTCTATCATGAGATGTAATGTACAATGAGACTAATATCTTTCCTTTTTGCAAACATAAACTATTACTACCATTACATTCTTACAAACTAATAAAGGTCATTAGCAAAAGCTAGTACAGTACAGTCAAGGAGAGCCAACTTTTAATTTTCACTTCATCACTAAACTTGCATATTTTTAATGGAAAACAGAATTATTTCTTCCCATTTTTCCCCTTAAGCAGTAATGAAAATAATAATGCTATAATTAGCAACCACACAGTGATGATGAATGGATTAGTGTGTTTTATAGATTTATGAAAATGTGAAGCATCAAGTACCTGTCTTCACACTCTGCATGCATATTCCATTCCTTCACCATGAACAAGAATGTGCTACCAGCTATCACCTTCTCTTTTGAAATTCTCAGCAATTTAATCTTCCCACATGAAGCTGCAGACAATTCATCACCAAGTGATTCAGTCCTGGACTCATGATTCCATACCAGCTCCTTTCCCAGCTTCTCCCCTCCATGTTTTAAAATAGCATACTTACCACAGTGTTGTAACCTCCACCCTGGTGTTGTTTCAGACAACTTTTCAGGCCTTAGAGCAACCTAGGAGAGAGAAGAGAGAGAGGCTGTACAGAGTTATAGTGACATGTTCTAACAACCAAGCCAAGTTACATTCTGGCTACGGTTCACAGACTAAGATCAGAGGAGAGCTGGCTACCCCATGTTAGACACCTACTTGGGCAAATTCAGTAACAAGTAACAAAAAACATTATTCTTAATAGCAACAGGCATTACTCCACTATTGGAGACTACATCTCACAGTTGGAAAAGTAAAATTCTGCATCTTGAATTTTCATGGTTAAATAGTGAGGGTAAAAGCAGCAGCACTTCTACTAAACAATGTAAATTTTTATTCTGAAGATTGTTACGCAGTGCTCTTTACTCAGGAATTTGTTTAGCCACTTTGCTTAACAGAAAGAATTTGTGGAGCTTTGAGGCATGTTAGTTTTTATTATATATAATCTATACACACGAGTAAACAGGAAAAATAAAAAACTAGTCTGGTTTTGAGACTTATTTTGGTTTTTGTATCTTACACACAACAAGCTATGTGACTATATTTATTCTGATATTTCCCCAAATATATTTGCCACAGTATTTGGGAACCTCACATTATCTACATTCTAATATAAAATGCACTTTATCAGTGGATTACAGATGCTGATCTTGAAATAAATAAATTAAAACCTCCTCTTCTTGCACACTATGCACAATTCACCCTGTCCTCAACTTGGAAAAGAGGTCCACGTGAAAAATGTCCATTTTTCTCCAACTAGTTTATTTCCTCAGTCTTATGCAGCTGTACAAAGGCATGTGCTGGCACAAAGGGAAGATCAAGAAGGAAGCCACCGGGAAGAGCAGGACTATTTCTTCCCACAGCATTATCAAATTGCATTGGCTTAAGCATTCATAGATTCAACGAGGCCAAAAATATCGCTAATTACTTTAATTATTCATCTAGTAAGGAAAAGCTAGAGTTTACATTTTGAATGGCTTTATAGACATCATAAAACATGACAGCAACAGCTTTCTTGTATGAGGGACTTGAAAGTCTCTTAAGCTGTAAGTCATTAATTAAACCACTTTTGTAGGGCAACAGTAAAATAAGTTTGCTACCATCTGATAATTGTTCAGAGGCTATGGCAAAACAAAATGAAGCTTTGTAAAACACAAAAATCCACAAGAGTTTTTCACAGGTAGCACATCAGACGCTCTCATGAAATGCACAAAGGAACAATATGCATGAGTACATAAGAGAATAGCTGAACCTGTTAAGTTAGAAAAAGACAGGAAAGGCATTACAAGCTTTTTGCACAGTGCTGCCAGTACAATTCTAAGGAAACAAAACAAAGTGAAAAGTAGCCAGACCTGACTGAGCAGATGGTAACAGGAAGAGGCGAGATTTGCAAAGTACGATTACAAATGTTGCTGAAACTAGAAATCAACAGAGACATTTGAAAATTATTACAAAAAAGACTGTTTACTGCACACAGAAAAGCAGACCAAACAGAATCTGTGCATTTGCAAGTATCCAGGGCATCTTGCACTCTGATGGGCCAGAGGGCAGAATACAATCTGTGACACCAGTGACAAGAATTCAGCCCACAAACTACCAAAGCAAAGCAGGCAGGGAAACAATCCGTGCTGTTGGGTAAGTGACATGAAGACCCAAGTGCTACAACGTACGTGTCGACCCAAATCCGTAAAGAATGGCTCCACGCGTTTAGATTAGTGCCAACACCCCCTGACCAAAGCATGCACAGCCTTACACCATGGGATTTTAATTTGGATCTAGAAATATATTAGCATGTCATGACACAGTACTGAACCATGCAATGTCAAGGCAACAACATGTTCTGCACCCACTGGAGTGACTAGGTGACTACCTCCAGAGTCTGCTAGCTCAGGTATATGCACATCACAACCAGTTAACATCACACACGCACATCTGGAAAGGCAAAAGGAAAGCAAAAGGTTGAAAAATGTTTCAAAGAAAGGGAAAAGAGACAAACAGACATTGTCCTTGCAGAAACTTCTGTTCTGAGCAAAAACACAACTGCCTGGGGTATTAATAATATCCAAGACATACAGACTCGGGTGAAATGGAATGGAAGGTCTTCCAAAAGAGCAATGATTTCCCTACATTAGTAAGACAAATTCAGACAGGCAGAAAGAAACAGTTAGAGAAATCCAATGAAAGGACAGAATTTTTCTGTTCACAGCACTGCCAAACTACTGTTAAGTGTAGTTTATCACAGCAGAGAGTATCATACTACTTGCCAGCCATACATGCAGTTCTTCTAACCGAATTAAAAATAAAGGAGAAGTATCATTGGGAAAAAAAAAAAGAAAACTTGAAGGAGTCATGAGATGCACACACATTTATGTCGACAAGACTGAAAAGTAACTACAGGTTTCCTGATACCCACACGTTACAAAGTACATGGTACCTCTGCATAAAAAAAAAAAAAGGAAAAAAGTTGTATAATACCGGATCCGACTTTTTCACCTACTCCAGATTTTGTGAATTGCAATTTGCGTTAAAGCACGAAGTTTTCCTGCAAGTGCTATAAAAAAACCTTGCAAACGCACAATCACTTTAAGCGATGAAAAACAATTGTGCTAGGACTTTGATAAGAGAACATGTCACAGATGTGATGCTATTTTTGACAGCAACCACATATAATGGATTACCTATTATGTAACATATATATTGAAGCAGAAAAATTAAGTTCAGACAACAAGACTCTTGCACGTACGCTATCTGCTTGCTCCATAAAATGTACAGCACGAATGGCGGACATGTTACGTGTGTCTACAGGTACACTCAAGACTGGTTTTTCCGCTGGTGTGCGGGGGCCCTCTTGCAACACGGCACTTTGTTTTGAGAAGCTGCAATTTTAAGAGAGTTCAGGTTCCGAGCTGTCCCGGCCGGCTCTGCTCGTTCCAAGCTTCCCACGCCACCTCCCCCAGCAGAAAAGCAGGTGCCTCTCGGATCACGGGCCGCTCATCAGAGCGAAGCCCCGGGGAGCCGGGGGGGGCCCAGCCGCCGCCTCAGCGGGCAGGGGCAGGCGGCAACACCTCCCCAAGCCGCGAGGCCGCCGCGCCTCCCCTCCCCGCAGGCT